AATATTTGCTACTTCTTAATAATTTAGGTTTTTTAGATTTCTTATAGTGAGTGTTTATTTAGGTTTCACAAGAGAGTAACTCATAAGGAGGGAATGAGTTTTAAATTTTTTATGAAATCTTTAAATAACAAAAAGTTAAGTTTAAATAAAATATTATAAATTATAATGTAATTAAATTAAATGAAGTTGAATTTTAATGAGTAATTATTTAATTGTATTAAATATTAGGTGTTGTCCATGAAAGCTAGAGCCAGAAAGCTAGAAAGCTCCAAAATAAGGCTTTTGGCTTTATATATAAAATTGTTGTAAATCTGCTGTGGTTTTCTGTAACTTTTAGAAAAAATAGTCTAAAAAAAATTACTAAACATAAATATATCTAAAAGCATTGTATGGCTATCAGAAAAAATGCCCAACCGCAATTCCAAATGCACCCTAAAATAAGCTACTTTCCGGTTTGAACTAACATAGCCATAGAACAACGTGCCAAGAAAATGATGCCCATTTTAAGGTCTACAGCTAATAAGCCCACTCTTATATTAATCTTATATATCATTTTTACCCTAAGAACATGGAAACAAGAAACACACTCCACATTCCCATTGGGAAATCCTTATTCACTTCCATGCCAACAATTGCATGTCAACCTTCTTTCTGCTTCAAACAACACCATGCCTCCAACATGGTTCTACTAAAGCTTTCCAAATAGCATGTGAACTACAGCAAGCACACCCATAAGATATTAACCCTGATCAAAATCCAAAAAGCAAGATCATGCTTTTCAACATTTCTGTGGTACACCGTACACATTACCAACCTGAGATGGACCTACCAAGGGCTTAGTCCAATTCCTTGCATCAGCTATGGTGCAGAATCATAACTGGTATTAGTTCCCCAAAAAAAAAGAAAGGTGCTTCCCTTAGCTCCCTCTAAATATAATCAATGGTTGAACTTTATTGAACTTTCTCCAAAAAATAAAATAAAATAAAATAAAAAAATCACTCTCTCCATTTTAAATTTGGCAATAGTGAGAAATGAGTAAACAACACCTCTGATGATACCGCACGTGTTCCTCTGTAGGATGTCCAACACGAATCAATTTGTAATATGGGATCTTAGCTTGACGTGCATACCTATCAACCAAGGGAAGTAAATTAGTTGCAGTCCACAAAAATTGTAATAATCCTGTCCTTCACTGATTATAACAAAAGTGGCAAGCCAACTTTGAGATGCTTTCTATAGTAGGTTTTCAACATGCTTTATTACGAGGCAAATCTAGGACTTTGGGAAGTAGAATAGTAGAATGCAATTAAACTCAAATAACCTAGGCCAACATTTGTATGTACATTTGCATTAGAGAGGAAAGAGCCTGTTAACCACACTTGAAGCTTGAGAATCCGAGAAGAATCAAGCAAGCTTATTTCTGTGTGTTGTAGGTGATTCTTGTCTAATTCTATAACGGTATGTTTGGGAATGTGATTTTCGTAGAGTGTATTTGAATTTGAGCCTTCCAAATTCAATATCACTGTTTGTTTTCACAAAATAAGTATGTAATTGAATTTATCCCAAATACATGTAATTGGGTTCATGTATTTCATTGCTTTAAATTTGTGTATTTGAAATACCCACACAACCTCATGTATTTCAACTCTCCCCTCTTCCTAGAAAAATTTTGACAGAGACTGATGGTGGATGATTTCCATCAGAAGAAGGTGCCAAATGACCAATCTCTGGTATAGAGATGGAAAACAATTTATCATCAATCCTCCATTGTTCACTCCAAAGATCTTGTTTTCTTGTCTTTTTCTATACTTGAGAGGAATCCCCTTAATTTCACAAAAATCTTGATTCATATTGAAATATTACAAATCTTCTCCAAGAAAAATAGATTTTGTTTTTGGTTTCCTTTTCCCTGGGTTCATATTGGGTAAGTTTCGTTTGTTCATATGGAATATACTCTTCTTCTCCAAATAATTTGACCGATAGAATTTTCCTTGAGATTTATATTTGTTCTTTTGGTGGGTGATGCTTGAGGTACTAGTGATTTTCTACTTCCTGTTTATTAGCAGATCGGGTGAAAGCTTTATGGCTTGGGCATGTTAGTGAAAGTTGCAAAGGCATTGTCTTGAAAGTGTTAGTAAAAATGCCTCAATCAACAAATTTAATGTCAAATTCATTGTTGTTACTTTAATCCAAATAGTGAATTTGGACATACATGTATTATAATACATCCCTCATACAAATTCAAGTTCCCAAACATATCCTAATTGAATTTTGAGATGAACTTGATTTTTATATTTTTGCCATAAAGATGGTGATCTTGATTGAGTTAAAGCAATTTAGAGATATATAAATAAGCATAAAGACCAAATTCAACATGAAATTGAAATATGATAACATGCAGATGCTAATTTTATATTCTACATGTGATAACATGATAACATGCTAATTGAAATATGATAACATGCCAGATTTTCTGGTTATATGGCAACATGTTATGCTATGCTTATATTATTGAGATACTAAACCATGCTTATGAACTGATGCAACTCTTTTCTGATCTTATCTGGTGCCTATATTCTAATGGCACAAGTTTATAGCTATCTCTTTTACTATATCTTTGACAATTTGACCTAAACTGTAGTTTTCTAAATTTAATTGCGCTGTTTCCAAAATCTTCTATGTAGTATAGGAGCCATGTTTTCCCAGATGCATGTATGCTGTTCACTAGAAAAAGGGTTTCTAAGTTAGTCATGGTTAAAACCTGGCCAAGGGAGGGTTATGGCAAAACTCTGGCCACTCTGGCCAAGGGAAGGTTATGGCAAAACTATCATAGCTAATAAATTGTTAAAAAATAAACAAAAAGAGGAAAAAGGCACTAACCTCTCTTGGGTGGTTCGGAGGTAAGGTTCCAGATATTTCACCTCCAACTTCATCCAAATAATCCTCTCACTCAAATACTTTATTTGATACTTCAAGTCATTCTCATCCTGAAACTCGTCCTCATCCCTATCATCCTCATCCCGAAACTCGTCCTCATCCCTATCATCCTCATCGTCAAACTCATCCTCATCGTCAAACTCATTTTCGTCTACTTTCTCATCCTCAGCATCATCATCAGCATCATCATTCGGATCATCTAAATATGGAAGACTACCAGTTAACAGAGATAAATTAGTTCACGATCAACAAATGCATATGCA